ACCGACATCCATGTAGCTGCCCCCCAGTAAGATGAACCAAGCAAAGAGGGTCCCCATCATGCCCAAGGACATCCAGCTGGCCCGCCGCATCCGCGGAGAGAGGGCTTAGACTGACCTGAGACCAGCAACACCCAAACACAACGGCTCTTTTAAGAGCCACCTACAGTTTCAAAGAGTTGCAATCCTACGTTATTATAATGAATAAACTGGTTCATGTATCACTTAGTTTACTGAACTGTGATGAATGAAATAAATTAGTGAGGTAGTGGTTTACTGAAGTTACAAAGACATTAATATATGAGTAACAGGTCAGTGTAAACACAAGCTTCTGTCAATTATGGATCATTCAAACTATTTATATAAAAATATGTAATAAAGTTCTAAAACAAGTATTCGGTATATTCCTTGATAGCTTTTGGAGAAGGTTGTTTTTAAGTTTACTAAAATCTATCGTTTCAACTGTTTCACTTTATAAAAAGGGAACAAGTGAGTAGAGCATCATTGAATTTCTTATTCTGTCAGTAAATTATCCAAATTAAATGTTTTTCATTATTTTAGTCAACCCTAAACAAATTGATTGTACCTTTTAATAATGACCTTACATGGTCGGCAAAGTTAAATTAACTTCAGAAAATCAAATCTGTTCTGAGAAAAAACTAATAAATGTTTAAAGATAGGAACTTGCCATCCCACCTGAAAAACAGTCCGTAGAGATTTAAAGGCGTAGTTGTAGTTCGAGTCCAACGTTTCATTTGGATTCATTTGACAACAGTCAACTATTTTCATAAAGAATATATATATTTTTCAAAGTCAACTTTATTGTCAATCTTACTCAGTTTGAGAGATCAAAAGACGTTTAAATAAAATTATACAATTTACAGATATGTATACAAATATATATATCCTATATACACCATCATGTATAATGATGGTGTATGATGTAGAAGGAAGTGTGGTAGATAACAAGTAATATAGGAGTTACATACAGATCCATGTTACAGCAAAAGATGGAATAACTCAGAAGCACGCAGTATAATAATAATTACATGCAACAATTAAATAACTGCTCAGCATCTCCACCACAATCCCAATCTGCTGTGTCCTGTTTTCCTCCCCTCTGCATAAACACCCATCACACATATGAAACACAACGCAGAGTCCGAGGGTGTTAAGAGTATGTTTATTGAAATGTCCTCCTCTCTACTGGCCAACACAGGGAGCATATGCTGGGTGTAGAATTTTTCCAGGAGGAGGAAGATTTCCATGCCATGCAGGGTCTTTGGGGATGGGGATGAATGATCACCTCCTTCGTGGTCCACACAACAAAGTAGCAGAGACTTCCGGTCTGTGATATGCAGCTGCCTTGGACTGGTGCCAGTATGGGTGATTCTCCTTGAGAATATATGACCCACCCGCCTCACGAAGACAGAAGGATGGTAACTGGACTGCCTCCGCGATGGTCATGTTCCTCTGGCTGTGTGGACCTTCACCTCCAGCAGGGCAGATGGCTGCACAAGTCCATCGGGTGATGCTCCCAAAACACCCGACTCACTCACAAAGAGACCAGACTCGATTCTAACACTGTCACTTGATAGGCCTCCACAAAAGCCTTCACCCCTTCTGCCTCGTTTACAACCCCCCAGTTGACAGTTGGCGATGTCTCTGGCCAGTGGGTTGTATGTCTCCTCTCGCTGTTGGTAAAGTTGAGACAACCGGCTGGACTACTTTTTAAGTGCCAGGCTTCCTCCACTGGCACTCAACATCTGTGGAGCTGATCTGCCACATGGCAAATATTGCCAATGCTGCAGCGTGGCTGCATTTGTACATCTCCTGTGCACAATCACAGACAGCGCTCTGCATCGCGCCATCGTCTCCCATGCAGATCTGTAAAAATAAAGTAAGTACCATTTGTTAGCATGCTATAATAGATTGAATGAGCAATAATACAAGGATGGTCCGGATCTGGGAGGGTTTATTTTTCCATAGTTTTGTCCTCTTGTCTGATTGTTGTTATTGTTTGTTTTTCTGTATTTTTTGTAATTTGTGTGTATTGGTTGTGATTGTACATTGTATTTTTCTAAATGTGTATGAATACATTTTTGAAAAACATTTGATCAACAATAAAAAAAGGATTTGGTCAGGATCTAGACTCAGTGTGTAGTTTATTAATTAATCAATGCTCTCTACATTAGGAAAACACATACCAGTGTACCAGAGGGAGTCACACACAGCTGTGCCTAGATAACCAAAATCCTTGAATCTACAAACAGCAAATAAACTCAAATGACACGAGAAAAAGGAGATCACACATAAAACTGTCCGCTTCAATCTGAAGAGCAACTAAAACAAAACACGGGAGTGTACCTTGTTCTTGTGAACACTAATGTTATCCACAGCATACACAGAGACCACGAATTTCTTAAGGAGAAAACTAGTTACTAAAACAAAACACGTTAGTGTACCTTGTTAGCTAATGTTAGCTAGCTGACATAACGTTACACATTGCACTCATATTACTCACCGAAACCTTGTAAAGCCGGTCCCGCATGCTGGCTCTTACAGAACCGACTAACTCCCCCTTTCATATAGGTACAGCTCTCAACGTGCCCAGACTTGTAGTGATTTTCACCTCGTAAAATACTTTTATTCTCATTCTGAAAGAATGTGGTGAAATGTGCTAACGTGACGGCCATCTTTATGTTGGAGACGCGTATTGTGCGAGACGAGAGACCTGTAGTTCACTGAGCGGTTTCACACGAAAAAAATGTGTAACTTCACAATTTTACGACACATTTTTATTTTTTTTTACTTGCAAAATGTTCTTTTAAATTGACAACATCATATGTGTCATTCGTGGCACAATTCAAACGGGATCAAAAGATAACCTTTCTCTCTCCATTGACTTCAATGTATAATTTTCCGCTTCTGGGGTCCCATGGAGGCTTTCGGAAGGGGAGGGACTTCGCCTCTCCATATGTGGTAATTAAATTGTACATATTTTTTTTCTAATTACTTTTAAATGAATGAATTAGCTTGTTTTAAACAGTGACAATATATGTTAAGATTAATTAAAAAAGATAAGAAGGATGCAATAAACACATTCAAATCTATTAAAAAAAGGCTAGATTAAAACATGTAACATCTAAAATCAGTTTTTTCAGTGCTCCAGGTAGGATTGCATCCAGCTCACCGATAGTTTATCAAAACCAATTGCTTTTAGCTTGTCAATCAGAATGGGGTGATTGACAGTGTCGAAAGCCTTTGTAGGTCCAGCATCACCATGCCGCAGGACTCTATTCTTCTCTGGAGTTGCTCAAGGTGTGAGGCGCCGGGCGGGTGTGGGGATACTCACAAGCCCCCGGTTGGGTGCTTCGTTGTTGGAGTTTACCCCAGTGGACGAGAGGGTCGCCTCCCTACGCCTGCGGGTTATGGGGGGGAAAACTCAAACTGTTGTATGTGCTTATGCACCAAACAGCAGTTCAGAGTATACGGCCTTCTTGGAGACCCTGGAAAGAGTCCTGTATGGGGACTCTTTAATCTTGCTGGGAGACTTCAACGCACATGTGGGCAATGATGGAGACTTTGGAGGGGCGTGATTGGGAGGAACGGCCCCCCTGATCTGAACCGGAGTGGTGGTTTGTTACTGGACTTCTGTGCTATATGGATTGGCCATAACAAACACCATGTTCGACTTCGAACATAAGGATGCTCATAAGTAAGGATGGGTATCGAGAACCGGTACTAAGTCAACACCGGTACCTGATTCAAGCACCACTTGTCAACCAACCTCTCCCGTCTGCTCCCTGCGCTTCACCTCCGTACTCAGAGGTCCTGTCTTCCTCGACCCCCGACACCATATTGCTGGTAGTTTTTCTCGGGGTAACAAATGGGTCGAGGAAGGACAGGACCGCAGACTATTTCCATTTTGTATTGGTCCCTGCTGCTGACCCACTCTCCTATCCTAAGTTCTCCCTCTTCTTTTTTTTCACATAGGTGTCCCTCAAACTCTTCCACTTCCTTCGGCATAGCCTACCTCCTCTGACAAGAAAAAAACGTTTACAAACGGTAACTTTTAACCGTTATCTGCCGTTAAACCGGCGGTTGAGCTAACTTGGTTAATGCTAATGTGTTGTTGGTATCTGTAATCAAGCAAACAACGGATGTATATTTTTGTATAACTCACCAGATAAGCCTACTTCCTTGCTTATTTTCCTCCATGCCAGCTCCTTTTTGTTGCGGTCCCGGTAGATATACGACATTGTATCGTATAACTCCGGGAACCCACTCACAGCCACAACTAATCTATAATTATAGACTATAATAATAACTACAAATCCATATTGAAAGTTACAATACAAATGGAAGATATTCTCGTAATGTATGTATAAGTGCCTATAAACGTACTTACGGTTCTTTAAAGGGGACCTATCATGCAAAATGCACCTTTTCATGTATTTTATACATAAACATGTGTCCCCTCTGTGGGAAGAGATTCTGAAAGTTTCAGGAAAAAGATTCACTCACTTTTGTCCTGATCCATTTATATAAAAACCTGTCTGAAAATAAGCTGATTAGATTTTGACTTTATGATGTCATAACGATTTTTTGACTGGTGTAACCATTAGCCAATAACCAACCAAGGTAACTACCGCCAACCTTATCACCTGAATCTCCTCCTAGAGCACCATTATGTTCTTTTTAACCAAATATCTCGCAGAGGGGCGTTGGGAGTGGACCCTTATTTTCATCTAAACTAAAGTAACAGACAGAGAATCAGCACTTTAGAAACAGGGCAGAAAGAGGGGATTATGGGATGCTACAATGGGTGATCTGCTTGTTATTTCGAGCCAAACACTTCAGACATGTTTTGTATATATCTGAGATGGTGAGGACCTATAATATTGATGAAAAACAGTATAATAGGGGACCTTTAATGTAAATAGGTACATCCCACCACTGGTTTGCTAACAGCTCCAGCTGCCCTGTACAGTGTGGGCCGGTGGCGGCCCCGGTGGCCGGTGTCGGTACTGAAGCTCCAGCAGGACTCGCTGCGTCGAGTCGGAGTCAGTCCGCCGAAGCTCTGCCGACTGGAGGGATGTGACCCCGGAACAGGACGCCCTCCTACAACAACACACCATTCAAACAGAGCAGAGAATAAAGAAAAGCTGGACCAGGAGGGGTAAGCTATTTTTTCTTCAGGAGGCGCACATTGTCAGGGTTTTTGTGAATCGATACGTGTGTTTGATTCCAGGCGTCCACACTCCTGGAGCGCAGCGGCACCTGGATGGGGTTTCACAGGAACTTCATTCAGGCTTTTGTCTCGGGCATGCTAGCGAGCTTAGCTAGCTTCGTTGGTTAGCATGGGCTGCTTTTCCAAAGGTAGCGCGGGTAGTAGTGGGGACTAAATGTAATGATTCTCAGGTTAAAACGAAGGCAACTCGTGAAGCCGTTTAAAAAATCGTCCATACATGTTTTTACACGACGGATATTGATTCAAATTAATGTGGAAAATGCACCGAAGGCTTTCTGCTCGCTAGCATGAGCGCTGCTACAGTTTGAATAGTCTGCGTCCCGCAACATGATAACAAGATCCGTTCACTGTCACAATGTGTTTCCATAGCTTAAAATTAGAAAGACAAACCTTATTTTGTTACAGTTTGCCGTTCAATTTAGTTTTCTTTGTGTTTCTTTTTCAGTCAGAGTTTGACTTTGAAAAAACTACTAAAACTCTAAAATCTCAGCTAACGCGAGTGTAACATTATGCAGACCACTGAGGGCGTTAACGGTTATAGTTGGGTTCACTTGCAGACGATATTGTGATGTTAAATGTATCTGAAATACACAGATTTAGCAGACTACATGCTCATGATGCACGCCTACATGTAGGGTTAAATACAAATTACAGGGCCATTTGTCCCACTCACTAAACACCTACCAGTCAGCCAAGGAAATGCTTAGACAACATTTAAATGCTGCTCCAGCCACAACAGCTTATGTAGAATGCGGTCACTTTGCTTAAAATGCTCATAGTTCAAGTTTTCTATTCCCATAACTCCTTCACTGGGTTTCTATTTTTGGATCATGCCACCCATAGATGCATTGTGCCATGCTGCCTTTTACAGTCTCTGCTTTCCCCCACATGTCAGATAGCCTTTGAGTGATGAAGCTGGCACCCTGCCTGCTGCAGGGCATTGATGAGAGAGCTGCGGTCAGTGGGTATCAGGGCCGGGCCACAGGCGAGCGCTCTGAATTCTCCAGGCAGCTTGCAGAGTTGGTCATGGACCACAGTATTTCAGGACTGCCTTAGTTTGCACATTCCCCTAACTGGGTGGATGTTGCAGAGAGATTAGGACCTCGCTTCCTCAGGGCAGGTGCTCTTCAGCGGCTGCTCCATCCCAGGGGGAGCTCATCAGCTGCTGTCGAGCAGAGTTTAGGAGGGAGGGCTTGTTCATCTCACAACCTTGTGCTCTGCGTTTGGCAGCACACACTTGTCAGCATTAACTCAGCCCACGTAGTGGCCTGACACAATGATACTAAAGCTACTTGGATCCATTCGTAGTTTACACACACGCAGTCCTTCTGGAGGACCACCAAGTCTTTATGACTGTTAAACATAATTTAGTGGCATAGTGATCTTTTCTGTTCTTTGTTTTGTGCGCACGGTATCATGCACATTTGCAATGCGTGATATTGTTCCAAGCATATGGATCCGATAGCTTTTAGAATTGTATTCCCTGCCTTGATGTTGGCGCTTCTAAAATCTTTCAGCCGCTCGCCCGTGGGACCAGCTTAAGGCTGCAGCTTCTGTTTCTGTTCCTTTGAGGGACTGTGAGGAGAGAGCTAAGATCTTCTTCTGAGATCATAGACCAGATTTAATTAAGTTCTACAGCATGAATAACCGATAGATAAAAATGTAGTATTGTGAAAAAGTTTGCAAGATCAGATTGCCTCAATCTTGTAAAATATAAATGCTGAAAACCATTCATACATGTTCCTAATGGAACTGTAGTAGTATTAACAATGTACGAGTTGTTAAGTGTATCCTAGTAGGAGCTTAATAATGGGGTAGATTAATAATGTGTACCATCTATAAAAGGTCTCCCTATGACATAAGGTATACATTTGTCAAATGTCATGTCTTGTCTACTGTGACTCACTCTCTGTAGATCCTAGTATCAACGTTATGTAGAAATAGCCCAAGGACAGTTAAGCACTCCCAGAAAACCAGCTATGAACTAAGCCAGTACAGTTGAACAGGATTGTTTGAGTTCATGCCTCAAATGGTGACAACAAGACATGACCTACTTATCAATCATGTTTTCACAATCCAGTTCATCACCTTTGTCCCCAAATACTGTAGCCATTGTTATGGCACTGTACATGTGAGGAGATGGCTTCACACAAAGGCAGCATGCAGACATCCAGCAAGTCCAGGCCTGAGCATTTCTGGTTTATGATGTCTGGCTCACGCTGTTTCAGGACTCCGAGCTGCCCGACCCAGTGTGTCGCTCTGTGACTGCACGGCTGCCGGTCAAACGCTTTTCATTATGTCCTCCTGCAGACTTGGCTGGGAAGAAGCAGTGTCATAGGACTGACTTACCATTAAAACAAATGTCATGTGCTGAAATATTTAGTCAATGAATCAACTGAAATAAAATGTCAACAATTTAGATTTGGAAATCATGTATTACTAGCTTCTAAATAGGGCTGCAACTATTTTCAGTATAGAATAATCTGACAACTAATTTCTACATTAATCGATTGGTTTATTAAATGTGAAGAAAAATAATAAAAATGTAAATCAAAGATATTCATTCTTATCCCCATACCTGGAAGTCTAAAAACACCCTTTTATGCCATTTTGCATTAAATGAAATGACTAAATCAATTATCTCAATTGTTAGCAGTATTTCTCTGACTAATAGTTGACTATGATTGCAGCTCTACTTATAAAATGTACATATTTAGTTTTTTTCCTTTCCTTTTGAAAACAATGTAAATGTAGTATCTTTACATTCTGGAGCGTTGGTTTAAAGAAAAAAAGAGAATTTAAAACGAGAAATTGTTCTTACGCTGAAGGCCAATTTTTTCTATACTATTAAACACTGAGACAGTATAGTTAATGTCACAAGATAAACATTTAAATTGATGTAAATGTGACTAACGTTACAGTATTGAATTAGAACAGTCTACTAATTTCAATATGAACTCTAGTTGTTTTATTAGGTTGTGTGTCATCAGTAAAAGATAGTGTGTGTGTGTACGTACGTGTACCTGCAGCTGCTCTGCTGAACCAGGCCAGGTTGTTGGCATCTCAGCTGGCAGCTCCAGCAGCCGACTGAGGTTTCTCACACATTTGCTTGTGGTTGGAGCAGCTCATGATTAAATTCTTCTTTTTTTCCTTCCTGGTTTCTTGTATCTGTAGAGGCTATTGGCCTCTCAGGGTCTTATAGAGTTCAGACTTATAGCTGCAAACTAAACCCAGTTTGTCCGTCAACTCCGAGGTTTGTTTCAGTTTTTTCTGCTTGCTGGATTAATTTGATTTCCTGAACAATCAGACATTGTGCATCATGTGCACAGCCGATCTCAAAGCCAACAACAAGCTGGACAAGTGGACCGGGCCATGTGTGACTGGGCCTGTGCACTTTGGCAGCCCCTGCCCTTCATGACCCTTAGCAAATGTGAGGCCCTATCACATTGCATACTGTAATCTCTGGCAGCAGATCCCCGCTGCACTGTGTGGCCCGGTCACAGTGTTGGAATGTTGTGAGAAGCCTTCTCCATGTTTGTGTTTCTCAGAGACACTAATGGACACTGATACACAAGCTTGCATAAGAAATCTGGCATGCAGAGAACAGACGTGTCTGTTTTTTTATAGGGGCATTGCTGAACATGCCATGCATTGGCTGTATAAGGTGTTGTAGTAATCACTAAAGTTAAGACATTTTGAAATCACAATATATTTCTAAAACGGATCACAGTCCAATGTTTATATTCTATTTATCATTTCCCCAAAATGGTTGATTTATGTATATTTAAGCTTGTTTCACTGGTAGAAATATAATAGCAGCAACACTTCAATGTTTAAAGAGCCTGTGACAGCATCCCAACAACTGTTGTGCAATGAAATATTGGGCTACTAGTAATCTCGAACCGTCAGTTTAAAAAAGAAAAAGCGATACCGTTCCGTTAAATATCAATAATTTCGAACATCGCGGGGAAATTCCTTCGACTCATTTTGAAGTTTTGGGGGAAGCCGGAAGTGACGTCAATGCGGGAACGCTTCACTGTGCGGCGAGAGAGCCAAACGCGGACAAAGTGTGTCGTCATGCGTAGAAATGGTGAATTACTGAGTTTAGGCACGTTAATAACGTCTTAATGAAGTTGACTACAGTATATTCATATTTGTCAGTGCTTTCATGTCAATTCGGCGAACATAAACATAAATGATCGTGGTGAAGATGATGATTACATTAGGATTAAAAATCGGTAGTGAGAGCTGCTGAATTTCCTCCGGTCGGATGTGATATAAAAACAAATCGATTATTTTTGTAGTTGTAAACTCAAGTGGATGAAACTACATTTATTAGTGCTTTCATTTCAATTCGGCGAACATATGATAGATTAAATGATCGTGAGAATGATGATTAAAAATCGTTTGTTTGAGCCGGTCTGCATTTCCTGATGAGAAAACAAACCGATGCTTTTTGTAGTTGTACACCAACATGGATTAAACGTGTGGTTTTTTCACCACAATGTTGGGGAAATTAATGGATAGAATGCACGGATTATTATTATTATTCCCACTCCGATCGGGACACCAGGTCCACCGTTTCCCCGCAGCGAGGCTCCCCCCGTTGACAGTTTACGTGGGCTGGGTGCAGTCGCGGACTGGCCATCGGGACGAATCCAGATGGGCCGGTACCGAAGTGGGCCGGTCGGATAAGTCACTAGCACATCCCCCATAGGCGGCGCGTGAGGCTCAGGTTTGGGAAGGCTAAATAACTTTTTTTACCTGACGCTGCCCGCCTCCGGCGTCTATAGAAAAGAGAGCAACTCAGTGTGCGGAGTTTAAATCTCTCAAGTCATATTACAGGATAAAGGAAATACAGTTTAAACTGCCGTAGGCCTATGCAGAGAAGACGCCGACGTGTCGCACTTATCATTCATATTACATCATCAATCAGATCATCGATCATATAATATCATAATATATCATATATTTCCTTATCTGAGTCAGCTTCTCCAGCCGTATCTGGCCGTGCAACACTTACAGTGTCACATAGGCTACTGTATGCAGAAGTATTATTTTTAGCAACACATTATGTTGACGAAACACTCGAGTCAAATGTAATTAAAGTCAGATCCACTCGTGTCTTAGACGTGAACGCGCTCTCAGCTGGTGAGAGAAACCCTGGCTTGATTTACCGAGTTGATAACCAGCGTCGTAGGACCGCTTAGCGAGATCTCGTTTGTTAGTTTGTTGTTGTTAGTTTGTTTGTTACTCAAACATATCCAGGGTCTGTTGAACTGGCTTCGTAGTACAGGGCACAGGTGGCTGGCAGCGCTAATGTCAAAGACACGGACATTGCATTATATTTGTATTTTACCAGGATGCAGTGACACAAATATTTACATATTTAAATTTACTATCTACAGCACCCGCCGCCCCTGACATCCCCCACTCCCCCCGTTGACAACTTACTAGCGGTACCGAAGTGGGCCGGTCGAGAGTCCCGGGATGATTTTTAGTCCCAGTCCACCACTGACCGTATGATCGCCCATATTGACGCACCTAATTCCTAAACTTCTAACAGATACAACATAAAGCGATCCTTCAGCCTCATATGAGCTCTCAGACACGTTCAAAATGAAACTGTCTGAGCTGTCTGAGCTTGCTGCTGTGTGCACCATCGTGCGTTTACATGCAGATGCTGGGATCCTGAACGGTGCAGCTGGAGCGCTGTGCCCGCAATGACGTCACACGTAATTTGGCGGGACTTGAAGAATCCCCGAGCAGATCCAGGAAATGGTCAACATTGAAGGGCAGATTAATGGTTATCAAAGTACAAATATCCAAAATCAGTTCAGTAACGGTTTTCAAGGGGACAATATTTACTCAAATTGATGGGTTTGGATGATGGGGGAAACTCGTGTCACAGGCTCTTTAAGGCTTGATGAAAACTGAGAGGATATACACATGGTCTCTAGTAGGGCTCGGATATATATAACATTGTTTTATCACCATTGTGATATGAGACTAGATATTATCGTAATATTCCTGGTTTTGAATGCTTCATTACAGTAAAATTATTACAATTTCAGATTTTACCAGACCCTTTTAGCTGCCTTGTTATTTGCCATTACTTGCTTAGTCATTGTATGCCCATTACTGATGATTACTTATACACATTTTCATTGTGTTAATGTTTTGTGAATGTGTCAATAGTAATCCCTACACTATTGTGTCAATGTCAATATTGAGGTAATTTGTCAAAAATCGTGATATTTATTATTTATTTACTTCACATGGCCTGGATTGCTCCTCAAGTGTTATATTTTTTCTTTTAGATTTCACAGGTAAGTATCAGGGATAGTGTGGTTTCGGTGTGCTGCCCAGAAGGGCTCGATGTCTCGGCTCACCCCAACATTACAACACGGGCAGAGGGGGGGGGGGTGATTAGGGCTCGATCAGCATTAAAGAAAGCCTTTGATTACGTCTAGAATATTAGCTGCCTGCGTCTGGGGCTGGCATCCCTCGAGGGATTTGTGTTGAGCCAGCCCACCTCGAGAACCCAACATCAGACACTCACCAAGGACTCCGAGGAACCCTATTGTGGTCCTTAAAATGATTACAAGACACAAAACAGCATGCACATCAGAATAATGCAGGAATAACCCAAGTCGGCGAAATGTTTCAAGGTTTCTTTTCAGAACATTATGAGTTTTTAGCAGAGATTTGTCTCTCTTTTTTTTTTTTGCATCCCAATCAAATCAATAATTTTATAGCAGAAATGACTTACTGGATTTGTCAGATTTTACAGATGTCATTAAAAAAAAGCAGCTTTCGTCTAAATTGACAAGTAGTCATCTAGATGGTAGTATGAAGTAGCACATACAAAGTTTAGACATCTATAAATAGTTTGTCTTCCCAGAACAGGTCAATCAAAATGCAGAAATATCATGGCATATTATGGAAATATTTGACTGTTTTATGACAATCGTAATCTTTTGGACATAGCAAGCAATTTGAACCTCACCGTAAGCTCTGGGATCTCTGTATAAAACTATAATATTGATCATTCACATTGTCAAATATTTCAAGCTACATGCATCTGATAATACAGCCTGCCAATGAAAACATTTGTATATGATTTTTGGCTTTGAAATCACATTGAGCTGGACTCTATCTCAACCCAGTGTGTTTAAAATGTTGTAATCCAGCAGTGATACGCAGGAAGCCATTGTTTAGAAGTTAAGTCTCTGGCAGCCGAGTACCATCTGGTGCATGGAATTATAAACATGGTTGGAAAGCTAGTTTGTTCAGAAGGATTGCACGGATGAAGCTGCCCATTATATAATCATATGCACAATGTTAATCACTGTTGTGTACATGTTGTCCAGTTCACTGAGTACCAGAGCTGTAATTATTCCAGGTCTGTGGCTACTCTGCTGCCCAAAATAGTAATCTACATGTTTCTGCTACTTCCAGCCTGAAGAGGAACATGTGAAATACAGAATAGGAACTGTCTAATTTTCCTTTCTTCTTTTTCAAAAGTGTTAAACATGTCAAAACAATAGAAGAAGATCTCTGATAACCCGAACCCGCTTTTACATTTCCACGTTGTTCTACCTCCTGCCGAGATTCTCCCTATGGAATTTCACACACTGCGTTTGTTCTTCTTATAGCAGATATTGCTTTGAAAGTTGGAGAAGATGAGATGCTTATTTCAGGCTGGTATACAAATTGTATCTCTCAAAACATCCCGGGTAGAGATGATACTAAATATGGCCAGTTTTCAAACTTCAAACGGAAACATCAGAGGTTCATAAATGCCTCAGTCATGAAAGCAGAAGGCCTATTTATACAGATGATGAATGTGGAATATATTGTGGAGTGTATCAGCCTTTGTAGAAGTCAAGTCTCAAAATAAGCCTTAATGTTGAGGATGTTTGTTGTATTATCCTTGACGTTTAAAAATCTCCAAGACAAGATGACGCCTTTTGGCTGTTACAGTTTTCTCCGCAGACCCTCTCTGCTGTTTTATCCCCTCGTACGCAGTGACCGTTTGACTCCCAGCCTGATTCAGATGCATGTCACCTCGCTGGTGCTCCTGTGTTTATATCATGCTTCATTCTATATCGTCTCACTGGTAGGTGTCTCTGGCTTGAGTCATAATTCTTCCATGTGAGGAGCTGGGAGTCGGATCAAACATGTCACTGCCTCCCCCTTCACCTTGGCCACCAACATCCTCCCTGGGGGTGTAGCTAGTAACTGACACCAGCACACTCTCCATCTTTTCATGGCTGTCTTGCTTTGAGACTGCAGTGGCTCTCTAATTTAACCAGGCCCGCAACGCTCAGGTGGAAGTGAATAACTAATGTGTTCATCTTCCTCCTCTTCTGTGTCTTATGCTCACTGTGTGGGACAGAGAACCGACCAAAAACAAAAGTGTAATTTGCTGTCGATAAACATCCACCATAGGTTGCTGTCATTATAAGGACTATAGCCAGATATGGTCTCCAGCTGCTCTGATCTGGGTGAATCCACACGCTCACAGTGGCACCCGAACGCCTGCCAATGGCCAACGTTGCCAACCCCATTCCTCCTTCTCCCCCCTCTGGGCTCTGGGAAGTGGGGACGGCGAGCCAGCTCCTCAATTAAATATAACCCCACATCAAACGGCCTGTCAACATGCATTAGAGGTCCTTTGTATGGATAAGAGGCCAAAATAAATTACCAGAACTATCATAGTCTCTGCGGCTCCCATAGGCTTTTTATGAAGGATTTAAAGGGGAGAACAAATCCTGACTTGCATACTGATATTCTCTCCATTAAATCAATTTTTTCAGACCAGACTCATCCCGTTAAAGATTTATTTTCCACCATTTTCTCTGAATTATTTTTGACTTTTCGCATTTTCAATTGGCATAATTAGGCTGCATTTTAAAACCGCGCTGTACGTCTTGTTGGTGCGTTATAACGGAGATCTAATGCGACAGTCGACCTTGATTTGTGTGTGCTTTCACAGCGGAACCTATCCCTTTTCTGTCATCCTCATTAGCTTTGGCAGCTCCTTTTATTGCCTTCTTCTCCCTCCCCCTTTGCCTATATTTTGCATCTCTGCAGACTGACAGAGAAAATAGGTCATTAGTTAGACAGAGAATATGAGATGGAAGGAGCAGGCAGGGGCGAGATCTGTGAGAAAACTGCTATGAAATATTGATGACAGCCATTCACGCTGTGAAGGGCCAAACAGCACTGAGACAAGGCCTCTGACTGTATATATCACCACTGTATGGATGTTACAAATTAGGAAGTTATCACATAGACTTTAGTTTGTATTATTTAACCTTATAAATCTGGAAAAGACATGTGAGAATTATGTTAGGTAATTTAAATGCAGTCAGTATTATATGTCTTATAATACATCCATGATTGTTAAAGCTAGAGCCTTAAGCTCATGCTTAAATACTGCCATGGATTATATGAATTATACAATGGTTTATCAATACTCTGTGTAAAATGCATGTGTCAGGGTTGCATTTAGTAGTAACTCATATTGTATTTTAACCAAACTAAAGAATACAAACACAAAAGTGTAATCACTTTTTATGTATCTGTTTTCAAGCATGCAGGGGTGAGTGATCACATTTAAAAAAAAAAAAATCTGTTTTGTAGTCTATCAGTTTAAGGCCCGTCCGATAGTGCATCTCAAACAACTCTGTGTTAAAGTATTTCTAACTTCTTATAACACCTTGAGTGTTTGTGTAGCTTGGATTTTTCGCAGCTCTTGTGTAACGTGTTTTTTTTTTTGTGTCCAGAGCTACAGGAGCAGGGGGGGATGAACCGCGAGGAGGCCCCGGGGAAGTCTCCTGAAGACATGTACGTCCAACAGAAAGTGCGGGTCCTGCTCATGCTAAAGAAAATGGGATCAAATGTAAGTGCAGTCTTGCCTAACAGGAATTTTGGTTGTGCAACATTTTGGACATTTACAGATTAAAGAAACAAAAAAAACTGCAGAAAACAATTGGAAGTGCTGTCTATTGTCCAGCTTATGCACATCAGTGGTTGTCTCTTAAACAGCCATCAAGACAAATAATTATCAAAACCAATAGAAACATTATTTCCTAACAGAATCATTATTATTGAAAGTCTGTATCTATTAATTAGATTTTCTACAGTAAAGTCTCCTTTCCATGCCAACTCACAATTGTTTTCCAAAGGTACAAACCAGTCTAGCCAGAGATACCAGGATAAGAGGCACAACTTCCAGGGACTGAAAGACTGACTACATTAGCATGAGAAAAACATTAATTTGCTGTCCATCAAGATAACATTGTGTGTGGTTTTATAACTGGAAATGTAAATTGTTTTCTCTTCAGCTGACGCCCAGTGAAGAGGCTTTTCTCCGGAATTACGCAGGTGTGGTCCACAGTCAGATGAGCCAGCTACCACAGCACAACATAGACCAGGGTAAGACCTCGACACACACACTTTATAGTTAGTGTAGTTTGAATGTTTCATATCTATAAAAAAAATAGTTTTTGCCCATAAAAGGATTGAAGGCCTGTAAAAAATAACATTTACCTCAGCTCACACGCCACCTCCACATGTCACAAAAGTGTTACTTTGCTCAGACGACAAGAAGCAAAAATCCCTTCACATGCATCACTCCTCTCGAGTCTTTAACCCCAACAGGCGTAACGGATTGAGGCTGACTCACTCGCTTTGAGATTACTCACACAGCAAACACTGAGAGACTGGAACAGTGACTCAGTGCAGCGCTGCTTCTCCCAAACGGCTCAGAAGGGATATGATAAAGCAAATCACTGTTCATACTGTGTGTTATAAGACTTGTTTACCCAGTGGTGATCATCCGTTTCAATCCACCAGAGAGCACTGTTGAGCTGTCTTTATCTCATCTACAGTTTTACATTTGTCTTACCACAAGAGGGCGATAGATGAAAACAGTGTGTGTGGAGGCACTGCAGTTACCTGAGAAGATGGCAGCAAATTGTTTCATATGTCTTATAACTACCCTTATAAGGGGCTTTCCAGGCTCAGCCCAAACACTGCCTTCAGATAGGAGCCCTGCGGTCCTCCTGTGGACACCCAGTGGGGCCCGGGCCTTACTTTGTCGCTCACCATATTGGTCTCTCCGGGGAGCTTTGAGTCAGGAACATTGCCTGCGACATTGGCCCGTGTCCTTTCCCTCCTAGGAAACAATCAGAGTTGTTTGCATTGATACATTTGTGATTACCTGTGTTGAAGAAGGTTTGGGGATTATGGTAAAACAGGGTATTAAGAAGTCACAGTGACTTTGTCTTGTTGTCCTTCACCGGTCCTTTCATCTTCTTTGCTTGAACCTGCAGGGTATTAAACTGCATTGTCACGTTTTGGTAAAATCAGCCCCAATATGCAATATGAGGTGCATCATAACAATGTTAATGTGGATCATTGCATCTTTGGCAATAGTGTATATTGCATTATTACAATGTGTTTCTTCATTTAGCAGCAGTACATTACATCAGATGGGAAGGATGGTGCTTGAAAGGTGCAGCACCAAAAACGGATGTTTCCTGTCTGTTCTATCAATCAATCAATGTTTATTTATATAGCCCAATATCACAAATGTTACATTTGTCTCAGTGGACTTCACAGTTTGTACAGAATATCAGTATGACAATACGAGACCCTCTGTCCTTAGACCCTCACATCGTACAAGGAAAAACTGTTCTAACCATCGGAGACTAGATTTCAGTTTGTGCTGCATGCCCTCGGTCTCTGCCTTTGTGCCCTTTAGTAGATACAGGACTCCATGTCTCTGTGCAGTCAATACTGCTAAGAAGGGCCTCATTAATAATGGACGAATACGACTGGTGAAAGGTGCTCCGAGTATGCATTATACATCACAAAAATAGTCACATTTAGTGTAATTTGGCAGACTGCCAAATCCTCAGTGTGCCAATAAATTATTTGTGGTCTGCGTCTTTTCTGAAGTACCGTGATTAGGCATCATGGAGAGATAATCACTTTTAAATATCCAACGCTGAAGGACAGCAGGTTGTAGGTGTCGAGGCTAAGCCAACGCTTTAAGCCTCTGAGGATCCGCTATGTTGGCGTAATTGACGCACACAAAGTATCAGCACATTGGGGATCCTTTTTGAGGTTGTTTGAGTAGGGAATCACACACTGTTTGATCTCATTTAGATTTGGTAATAGGGGGGGGGGAATAGATGAAAGGAAACATTTTATTGCCTAGCAACTTGCACAGTCTTAAAATGTAATTTCACAGAAGCACAGCCTTCCAACAAAGTGTAATATTAACAAAGCAAGAATGCATTTGATTCATCTTGAAGTATCATCAATTCTGTAATTATTATAATACAGTTTAGGGAAAAGATATACACATTGTTTGAGTTGTACTTGGCATAGTGGAGGTTGTTCTCTCTGTGGTTCACTCTGTTCTCACTTCATTATAACGGCAGTAGACCTTTCCCCCGTCCCTCTGTATGCAGCAGCAGTACTGTCTGTCCTGGTTGACCGTCACACAGCAGCAGACACACTCTCTCTGTGACTAGCCAGCACATTTCCAGGCAGAGGTTGTTTTTCTATGTCTCGTCTTTTATCATTGTTGAATCTGCTCACAGCAGTTTCACCTTTTAGACTTCGTACCGGCTAGAGTAGCTTCAATTTATTTGACTTGTTCTGTACTGGTTAGCTTGAACAATACTTCAATTGTGAGAAAGACTCTTAATAATCTTCCACTTGGCTGCGAGTTAAAAGGTTTTCTGAGCTGTAGAAACCAGGGGTGGGGAAAAAATCGATACTGAGATGCATCATGTTTCTTTATGAAATATAAAGCCTTTATGTAGAAAAATCTATAATTGGAGAATGTACAGCCCAATTCTGTACATTATGATCGCCACTCACTGTTAGATTGGGCAGTCTGTCTATTTATGATGAATAATTCAAGTACATTTGTCTGTCTGTTTGGTTTATAAATAAATATTACATGTTAAGCTTTAAAAGTAATCTCATGGTGAAAAAAATAAATGAGCAATCATGTATAGAACTCAAAATGAAGATTTGATGTGTCTAATTAAATGACCTCTGAACATTATCTAATCATAAGGTGCCTAGAGTTTTCCACTTCCAGTAGAAATGAAATCCACATTGCTTTTTCACTTCCTCTGCTTCACAGTCTCAAGATAAAAATAGCATAATATTGGTTTGGTAATAAAAAAGCACACTGTTTTCTTTTGTTGCTGCTCAGCCTGCTGATGACTCAGCCCTTTCAGCTTGTCTGATTATACCTTTTAGTCTGCTACTATATAGGGTTTATAGTAACTTTCATCCATCTCCACACAATACGAGTCGTGTGACTGCTGTTAAATTGAAAAAGCATTCAGGCTGTCAGCACAGGAGCCACCATTAGCGGTGTAATGCTCCAGGCAAAGAGGTTTTCTAGCCACAGTATCTAGCGGTGTGAAACCAAAGCTAGTTTAAAGAAGCATGGTGCTCCAATACCAGCGTCCTCAGGGGGTCTCGTATAGAGCTATAGTGTCACGTGTCAGACATGGCTTTGACGATCGGATGGCGGCATCATGCTTAGAGGGCGCTGGAGGCAGGACATGGAGAAGCACTCGGTTATTGATTACTCTTAGTCAAGGCTGGGCTGCATTAAATACATAAATAGAAGTGCAGGTGTGAGAGCAGACCAAAGGTAATGTGACAAATGGGTTACATACATCCTTGCTGTTGTCAGCTTTAGCTTATTCTGATAAGAAAACAAATGTGTAGGGGATGCAGTGTAATCCATCCTGAGGCTTTGTCATTCTTCCTCACAGCCATTGATCGGACTGATTGGAAAAGAGTCTCTCCTTCAGACTCTGCTCTGCTGTCAAATATTATTCTGCCTCCTTCTTGGAAAAACAAGAGAAAAACCAACTCTTGGTCTGCCACTCGTATTTCTTTTAAGTCTGTGGGTCATGACATTTGCATTTCAGATAGTTTTTAATTGCCTGATTAGCATACATGCAAATACATTATTTTGTTTTTGCAGTTTAATCAGGCCAAAGAGGAATTCTCAGCCAAAGGCTCTGGAGCTTTTTTCTTATTCAGCTTTTTAGCTGAAGTGCCTTGATGTAGCTTCATTCTGGCAGTGATTAGGACGCTGGGCATGCGATGTATAAACGCTGTTATTGTGATTGGAAATGAAGTGAGAACTCATTAAATGAGGCATGGGTTTTTTCGGGCTCTGTGTAAATTGCTCCAGTTTTGGTTTTTACTAAACTCTGTGTTGCAGAGAGCTTTGACTGCAGAATACGAGATGCACAGAAGTTTGTCTTTATCAGCTTTGGTTCTTCCCCCTTTATCGCTCGTATCCCATGCTTTTTATGGCCGAACAACATGTGTCACTTTGAACAATACAGTTTGTCACAGCTAAACTTGTTTACTGATTTGACAAGGAAATGTGCTCCTCCCCCAGAAGCATGTCTCAGGGCCTCAACAAAAGGGATAGAGGAGGATAGGGTTTCCATAGCAACCTCTGTTGTCCTGGGAAAGCTGAGGTCCCTTGATGCCTTTGGTGTTGCTGCAACGTGCTGCATCGGTAGATTGGAGCAGGTGTCATTGGGAGGCAAGCTGGAGTGCTAATTACACAGAGAGAGTGTGATGTACCAATCTCTCTGTCCCTCTCCTTTCTTACACAAACATGAACTGTCAATTCACCGTCTTGTTAGATTTCTCTGTATTACACTCCTTGTATAACGCAATCCTTTAACCCACCTTTTCAAGTGGGAGCCATGTGACAACGCCTTTATGTGGCAACTCGGCCAGAGTGCTATTGATTCTTCATGTATCCTGTTTGTCACTGAAGCATGAATCACAGCCAGATTTATGAAGTGTCACGACTACCTGACTCAAATTCTGGGGAAATCGTGATCTAATTGAAGTTTAATCAAACTGATGAGTATTGGGATCTGCACTCTAAAAAAACACCTGCAGAAGATGATTGACTTTCTTGATGAGGCCCATCAAATGTGGAATTTACTAAATCTATCTGGTGTCTTGATCGTCCCATAAGGATTTTGGTCTGGCTGCTTATAGTGGGCTGAGGATGCAACTAATGATGATTTGAAATACATCTCAGTTGGAAGATTCTGCTAACAGTGTTTCCTCTGCATCCATTTAGCAGTGGGGCCCCACCACAGCTAATAATGAACAACATTGTAATTTAGCCCTATTGCTATTTATAGCTACATGCAGATGCTTTAGATTAGAAGATATGATTATAGAATATTTCAATATATATTTTACATTTAAACTTACATTTGAAACATAACCCAAACATCAGCAGATATGAGACGCAACTATAAAATGATTGCCCAAAGAACCACAGCTTCATGATTTTTCCCAATCAAGGAAACAAACCTGAAGATAATCTTTTCAGACATTTGCACGTGATCATT